AGTAGTTTCAAGAAGTGAAGCCATCTAACAATTATCCTCTAGTTGTTTTATTCTGTGTTGTGTGATCTGGAAGAGGAGAATGTTTTGCCAACAAATCTTCATGTTTATTTATAAGTAGAGACATGGGCGTTGAAGGGTCCAGTCATTCTGGTTAAGGAGGACTTTTTGACTCAGAAAAGCTGACTCAGAAAACCTCTCCCCTCCTTCCACGAACTTCATGTATTGAAAAGGAAAAATTCAGCAAAATTCTTGCTGAATAGTGATGATGGCAAAACCAACAATAAGCAGGAAGTGTGATAAGGAGCAGAACAAGGAAGAATCTTTAAGGACAGAAAACTCTGGGCGGGGGGAGGTTGGAGGAAAGAACAGCCATCATGATCAGAATTATTAATGCTTCTGAAACCCTCAAAGGTTGTACGTTGTTCTGCATATGCATCAGAAGTAACTCTGTGAAATGTAAACGTGACTTGTGTCCGAATTTACATAATGTTAAATTATGATTTTTTTCATTTTAAAGATATGTATTTATTTAAGCTGTATCAGACTCCTATTTGATAGGACACCATAACCTTTGATAATAAAAGTCTTTGTAAACAGCTTCTTTCTTATATATGCTATTGCCTTTAACTAAAAACTCACGTATCACAAAATGCTCTGTCTTAAAATGTAACGCGAAGCAACCATCCATCTAGCTCTGGAAGATTCTGGCACAAGGGGGTCCTGGGTCCATTAGCATCCGTCCCCCGGGTGCTCGCACTTCCAATCTACTTTGGGTGGCTTTGCATTTCCCACTTTGGGCATTTCCTATGAAAAGACTCCAGTGTGCCAGTGTGCTGCGTGTTTCCAAGGTTCACCCCTCCCGTCCTATCTATGTGTCGGTACGGATCCCATTTTGTGGTTGAACTCCATTCTGTTGTATGGCTATGCCATTTTTTTCTCTACTCAATTTATGAACTTTAGGTTGTTTTTAGTTTTCGGCAACTACAAGTAACGCTTCTATAAACATCTGAATATGAATTTTGGAGTAGGCATGTTCTTCACTCTTCTGTTCATACATCGAGAAGTGAAATAGTCGGGTGGCAACTGCAGATGCTATAGAAACTATGCTTCATGTTTGTCTCTTGGAGATTGTTTTTAATGACCAATCCCAAAGACAAAACTCAGAGAGGATAGAATGAGTAAGAAAAAAAATCATACTTCTTTTTCCTTGTTAACATTAAGCATTACAATGTGTTTCAAAATACATAGCCAGATCACCAATTCCAATCACTGCCTTTGTTCAAATATTAGGAAAACAGTCAAACAATAGAAATCCATCTTGAGATACCTTCTAGATGGAAAAGCTAGATTGCTATATATAAATCATTAACTCTGTGGTTTAGGCTCTCAATATTTAGCAGGCTTGTTCAATAACGATTGCTATCGCTTATAGTAACCTTAACATAAATGTCTAATTTCACAGTCAACATTCCTTTCATTGTAAGCATACAACTTCTTAACTGATATTCGTGGGTAGAGTAATGACAGTGGCTACCAAGACAGTACTACTCAAAGACCAAAAGATGGTCGTTTACAAAGATATAACGTGTAAATATATATATATACACACACACACACACACACACACACACTCAGTATGCAACTATTTCCACAGTTTTGTATGTATTTGTCTCATAAATACAGAAAAAGTCTTAAATTTGAAAAACAAGATGAATGCATTTTCATCTTCATTTTAAAATAACTTTTCAATTAAAAAGTCCCTTGTACTTGTTAAATCTGGTCAGCAGATGGCTTTAATAGTCTCTGCATTACATATTCAACTATTTTACCCTTTCTTTGAACCTCATTACAGTCCATTTGGCAGTAAGACCTCTAGTGCTTTATGGAAAACTTCATCCAAGGGACTCTGAGATTCAATCTGCATTTGAGTTCTTTAGATGATAATAAGTTATAACAATGTCCAAAAAATCATATGATCATTTATCAACACATTTGGGACCTGTGAATTATTGCAAATGACCTCACATCATATAATTTAAATACAAACTTTGAGGAGAAGGATTAAGTAAATACTACTTTGTTTTACATTTCTAATGTTGCCAGTGGTTTGATAAAAACATTAACAGTACTAACAAGAAAAGTACAGGAAACCTTAAACTATCTTCAGGATTATTTTTGTGTGTGCCAGTCCTGGGACTTGAACTCAGCGCCTGGGTGCTGTTCTTGACCTTTTTTAGTCAAGGCTTAAGCTCTATCACTTGAGCTACAGCTCCAGTTCTGGCTTTTTTGGTGGTTAATTGGAGATAAGTCTTGTGGACTCATTGCCCAGGCTGGCTTTGAACCACAATCCTCAGATCTCAGCCTCCTGAGTAGCTAGGATTATAGGTTTGAGCCACTGGTGCTTTGTGTGGTGAGTGTGTGTGTGTGTGTGTGTGTGTGTGTGTGTGGTGTGTGTGTGTTCCCAAAAGAGTTTAGCATCTGACTGTGGGGATGGAGAAACTAGACTGCCCTGACCAATGATGATGGACCTCATGAAGTCTTTGAGGGCCTGAACTGAAGAAAACCCTGGCCGAAGGTGAGCATCCTCTCTGCGTTGGGACACGGTGGTTCCTGGCCCTTGGACATTGGCGCTGAGGCTCCGGAGCCTTGGGAGGCAGATGGAATTCTATGCCATTGGGGTTTTCTGGCTGTTTGCAGAGAGTAGATTGTAAGACCTTCTACAATCATGTGACTTAATTCCTATAATAAACACACACACACATGCTTATCCACATTTTACTTGTTTCTCTGGAACAATGTTAGTTAATTATTTCAACAGTCAAATCATCACAGAGCTTGGGAGTATCCTAAGAACTAGAGACTAGTAAAGACATCGAAGGGGGTCGGGGAGTCGAAGGACCAGGATATAGAAAATTAGCTTACGACAAAGTTGCAATGGAGAAAAGAAACAAAGAAGGAAAATTAGGAGGAAGACTTGAGAGGCAGTGAGTAACAGTACGCATGCCGCCGACGGGAGAGGCCCACGTCTGGATCTTCTTTCAAGCCCATGAGTACACGCGCACGCTCACAGATACACAACACACACTCCACATAGATTTACCTTGAAACCAATGGAAATTCGCTTAGCGCCACAGGGCCTGAGACCTGGACACGTGTTCACACGATAAGGCCTTGTAAAAAAAAATCTGAAACATCAAGACACTTTGATGTTCTTTTTGTAAAGAGAGATCTTAAATGGTCTAAACCCTCGGGACCTGCAAAATCTAGAATATTATTGACTGCTCTAGTTTGCTAAAGTTGCGTGAGAATGTAGGCCCTGAGTTCAAATCCCAGTAATGGCACACAAATCAGTGGGAGCAGAGAAAAAAGAATAAATCTTTAGGAGCAGAGAAGATGAGGAAGAATCATCACAGAGACAGAGAAGGCTAGGCATTGCTGGTTGCAGGAAATCAGAGCAGCCTGGTCAAACAAGAAGAAGGCCAGCAAGGGGTGGGAGGGGAGTCTGCTGAGAGAAGTCTCAGAGGATTTGTGGGCTTGAAATCCTGACTGAATATGGTCACGTGAGAATTAGAGGGACGATCTTGGGTACATCCTGGGCTTGAACTCAGGGCGCTGCCCCCAAGCTTCTTTTGCTCAAGGCTAGCGCTCTACCTGTTGAGCCACAGCGCCACTTCCTGTGTTTTCTGTGTATGTGGTGCTGAGGAATCGAACCCAGGGCCTCATGCATGCTAGGCAAGCACTCTGCCACTGAGCCACCTTCCCAGCCCTGTCTTGGTACTTTCCCAGGCCTTGGCTCCAAGTTCATTCTCCTTTGTCATGTCTTCCAAGGCCATAGCAGAAATTCAGTGTAATGATCTGAAACATTACATTCTGAAGGAACTGGCCTCAGTATGTCTTCACAGCAACTCCCTTAACCTCTCTGAGACTCCTTAACATGGGAGTAATAGTTTGTATAGCACAGTGCTATTACTAAGATTGAATAGGTCATTTATAAGAGGTACTAAGCCCTCCAGTGCTAGTACTGTGACTGCCTAGGCCTCTCCCGGCTCCCCACCTCCCCTCAGGGCGCGCTGGTACCAGGTTTCCACTAGAGGGCGGTCAAAGAAAGAGGGAGGAGGAAAAGCAGCCTGGCGGGCTGGCCAGCAACACTGGATTTGGCCATCTTGGTCCATTTGTGTCAAGTACAACCTTCTAATCTGTGGAATGATCAAGGATCCCTTTCATGTGCAGACGGGAGTTAGCCTCGTGTTTGGGGGGGGGAGGAGAAAGAAGGGCTAGGGGAGAAGGAGGGTTAGAAAGGAGAGATTGGGAGAGAGGGAAGGAGGGAGAGAGAGGGAAAGGGAGAAAGAAAGAGGAGAGAGAGAGGGAGAGAGAAGGAGAGGGAGGGAAAGAGAGGGAGAGAGATGGAGAGAGGGAGAGAGAGAGGGAGGGAGATGGAGAGAGAAGGAGAGGGAGGAGGAGAGAGGGAGAGGGAGGGAGAGAGGGAGAGAAAGGGAGAGAGAGGGAAAGAGAGGGAGAGGGAGGGAGAAAGAGGGAGAGGGAGGAAGAGGGAGAGAGAGGGAGAGGGAGAGAGAGGGAGAGGGAGGGAAAGAGAGGGAGAGGGAGAGGGAGAGAGAGGGAGAGAGGAGGAGAGGGAGGAGGAGAGGGAGGAGAGAGAGGGAGAGAAAGGGAGAGAGAGGGAAAGAGAGGGAGAGGGAGGGAAAGAGAGGGAGAGGGAGAGGGAGAGAGAGGGAGAGAGGAGGAGAGGGAGGAGGAGAGGGAGGAGGAGAGAGGGAGAGAAAGGGAGAGAGAGGGAAAGAGAGGGAGAGGGAGGGAGAAAGAGGGAGAGGGAGGAAGAGGGAGGGAGGGAGGGAGGGAGGGAGGGAGGGAGGGAATAATCTCAGCACAAGATGCTTCAGTCAGCAGCTGGTTTTCCTCGGGAGGTGGTGGAGGTCGCCCGCCCGTAGGAAAGGGGTGGGGAAAGAGGAGGGGGAAGAAGCAGAAGAGGGGGAGGAGGGAGGCTGGGTCAGAGGGATGAAAGGGGGTGAGCCCTGCTGGTGCTGCCCCGCCCCCCGCCACCCTGCTGCCCGCAGCAAACTCTTGCACAAGGACCCCAGGCTCCCAGGCCCCAGGAGAGCTGTGCGCGCTGCAGAGGAGCAGAGAGGAGAGGAGAGGAGCACCAGAGAAGCCATGGTGAGCCTTGCAGCCCACACCATTCCCAGATCCTCCAGAAGCTTCTCGGGTTGTCCTGGCAGGAGGCAGGCATGGGGGTGGGCAAGCCATCCATTGAGATTTCGGGGTAAAAAAGATGACAGAATCCCCCCAAAATGTGGTCAGAGTTTCAACAAGGGGACCCGCCCATTCCTCCCCCTCTGCCCTGTCTCTTGAAGATCCAAGGAACACTTTGGCCACGGAGGCCTGAAAAAGAATAGAGCTTTAAAAAATGCAGAGAGCTCTGTGGTCTCCTCATCCACTTGCACTGCTTGCAAGGTCTCGCTTTGTATTGGGCACAAAGACGTCTCTCCTTTCCCATTTCCTCCTTGGTTATCTCTGCTTTTAGGTAGTTGAGGCATATTGACTCACCAGGGTCAGTGTGAAGAGATGGTGCTAAATGAGAATAGCGCTAGTGTGTGAAGCACCAAAGAATGCTTTTTACAGATACCCACGCCAACTATGACATGGCTTAAAAGCTGAGCTGAGGGGCTGGGAAGGTGGCTCAGGGGTAGAGCGCTTGCCTTGCATGCATGAGGCCCTGGGTTAGATTCCTCAGCACCACATAAGCAGAAAAAGCTGGAAGTGGCACTGTGGCTCAAGTGGTAGAGGGCTAGCCTCGAGCTGAAGAGCTGAGGGACAGCGCCCAGGCCCCACGACTGAACCCCCTCCCCAAAAATAAATAAAAGCTGAGCTGAAAAGGAGGTATAAAATGATAGAAATGTAGACTAATACCAGACCAACGATGATGAGCAGCTTGAGACTGAACTATGAAACCAATGGAAGCAGCACTGAGCAGCAGCTTGGGAGTCGTTTGATGTGATTTTTCGCCCATGTTTGAGAATTCTCTTCCCGGGACAGGCTTCATAGGCATACATGGTCTAGTCTGAATTGTATGAACATGATTGTCAAAGTGCTGTAAATAGGAGGCTCACCCAAATATCCTTTTGCATTTTCTTTGCAGATACTTGCGTGGACGCGTCAGGGTGCGGGGCGGGGCTCCCGGGCCCTGAGCGGACTGTGGCTGTGGACAGCGCTCTGCTGCGGTATGCCCTGGTGCTGTGCATCACCCCTTCTAACTCCTGCTCTTCCCTCTCCTCTAAGACCATGTGCTTGCAGGGAAAATTGTTAGGTCAGCAGCTGTGAACCACCCCTTCCGTGAACGTCCCTTTTCTACTTTTTTAGTTCGTTCTCAGAAACACGTGAGCCCTTTCTTTACCTGCTACCCCCTGTGTGGCCCAATCCAGATCCTGACAATCCCCTGGGAGTCTCCATGTCCTGCCGGTTCACGTTCATGACGAGCTATCGCAAGAAGGCTAGGCTCTCAGGAGTGAGGCCAGTTGTTCAGCATTTTGTTTCCTATGAATGGTTGTTGTGCATAATGTAGTTTCTGCATTTGCAGCGTGAGCTCCACCAGCTGGGCACTGGTGGCTCATGCCAGCTGCCCAGCAGGCTGAGAGCTGAGGATCACCGTTCAAAGCCAGCCCAGGCAGGAAAGTCTGTGGGACTCTTTTCTCTAATTAGCCACCCAAAAGTTGGAAGTGGAGCTGTGGCTCAAATGGTAGAGTCCTAGTCTTGACCACCAAAGCTTGAGGAGAGTGCTTAGGCCCTGAGTTCAAACCTAGAATGGATGTGCACACTCATGCGCACGCGTGCACACACACACACACACACCACAAAACTAGGGTGTTTACCTTTTGGTGTTTCTTCCATTATGTTGCAAGTTTTATGTCTGAGCTGTCGGCTTCCCATCAACACCTTTGGACAGACTTTCCGCTTCCTCGCAAGCTTGTGTTTTCCGCTCTGACTGTGCTGCACACCGCCCGCACATTCCCTGTGTGGCCTCTGTCTTTTTTCTTCTGGGAAGCCAGGATTCCTTTACCCATCACGCATTTTCTGCATCTCTTCAAAGTACACGCGCTGCTTTATGAACCGAGGGAGACCGACGTGTTAAGTGATTGACAGGCACTCAGAAAATGCAGCATGAATTTCTAAAGTACGCTGGTTAGACTTCACTGGAGAGCATTTAAGACACTTTCATGAAAATAAATCTAGAAAAACCATTAAATGGGGGTAAAATCATGCCATGTGGTGAGAGCCTTCTACATTCAAGCCAGAAGGTCCCAGTTCTGCTTCCCATTGGCAAACGGCTCCGGCTCCCGAGACAGTCACTTACTCTTTTACTTTGGGGGGGAGGGGCTCTTGGCTCCTCCTTTGAGCTGGCAGCTCAGCCTGGAGGGGGGGGGCTCCTGCCAGCTGTCACGTTATGTCAGTAACGCGTTTTATGCTGATGTCTTTCAGATTTCTTGGCATATCATGGGACTGACTGCTGGACTTACCATTATTCTGAAAAACCTATGACCTGGGAAAATGCTAGAAGGTTCTGCCAAGAAACTTACACAGATTTAGTTGCCATACAAAATAAGGCCGAGATTGAGTACCTAGAAGGGACCCTGCCCTTCAGCCGATATTACTACTGGATAGGCATCCGGAAGATCGGACAGACATGGACGTGGGTGGGGACCAACAAGTCTCTCACTGAAGAAGCAGAGAACTGGGGGGCGGGGGAGCCCAACAACAAGAAATCCAAGGAGGACTGCGTGGAGATCTATATCAAGAGGGAAAGAGACTCAGGAAAGTGGAATGATGATGCCTGCCACAAACGCAAGACAGCCCTGTGCTACACAGGTGGGCAGCGCGGGGGGGGGGCGCCTCAGAAGCCCTCAGTCAGGACGTGAGACTCAAGCCAGGTGGGCAGCGGGGGGGGGGGGGGGGCGCCGCCTCAGGAGGCCCTCAGTCAGGACATGAGACTCAAGCCATGCGAGTGACCAAGTCCTAAAACCCCACAGCTCTAGCCCTCGAAATAAGCTTGAATCAAGCACATTCTGAGCATTTCTGGTGTGTAAAAAGCCAGTCCTTCTTCCCAGCGACTCTGTCCCTCTAGCAAGTGACAGCAAGGTGTTAAGGCTAGTAGGTTGGGGGGGGGGAGAAAGTGAGAGAGAGAGAGAGAGAGGAGCCATGCGCTCGGTGGTGGAGAGGCAGGGGGTTGGTGTTGAGAGTTCGCTCGTTGTGAAGTAGAGGTTTAGATGTTGCAGGTCTCAGCTCCTTCTTAATAATTCTGTACACCACCACATTGCATGATTTTTGTGGCTGATGAAAACTCCTGTAAGTGCCATTACAATAATTCCAGCCTAGTTAGGACTTGCCAATCCCTATTTGAGCAATGACGTGGAGTTACTTTGGCTTCTGGAAAATGGCTCCTTGGGGTAGCATGGGCTTTTTAACTCGAGGGCTGCCTTCCTGTAAAGACAGGGATGGCCAAGCAGAATACAGAAATGACTGAGGCCAGACCATCATGGAATGCGTTTATCACACTAAATACAAGGAATAGCAAAGGTTCTCATGCACGCTCCTACGTTTTCCTAACTTAAAAGCAAAGAAAGGTCTATAGTTAGTATATTCCACAAATGAAAAAAATAGCATGAAATTTTTATACACACAAAAGATTTGAAATAAAGAAGGTGGCCACAAACTTGTTTTAGACGGGGAGAGAAAAAAACAAGAGAGCTAAGCTGGGTGCTGGTGGCTCACGCCTGTCATCCTAGCTACTCAAGAGGATTGAGGTTCAAAGCCAGCCTGGGCAGGAAAACTTGTGAGACTGTTCTCTCCAATGAACCACCAGAAAACCAGAAGTGGCTCTGTGGCTCAAAGTGGTTGAGTGCTGGCCTTGAGCATGGGACAGCGCCCAGGCCCTGATGGACCAAAAATGGGCTAAGAGTTCTAAAAGGGGTGAATGTGACCAAAGAACATTATATATCTATGTGGAAATCTCCGGGTAAACTCTTCACATGATGGAATGCTGGGATTATATAAACGTTTCCTAAGTATTAAAATCACCTCAACAAAAAATTATGGATAGGGAAATGACCAGAAACACTACCATATAACTGACAACGGGTCATCCCAACAAAAGCATTGTGGAGAGGGGAATGACCAGGAACACGAGCACCGGAGTCTACTAATGCTTGTGTTCTGACCTTACAGCTTCCTGCGGGTCCCAGTCATGCGGTGGTCGTGGAGAATGTGTCGAAACCATCAATAACCACACCTGTAACTGTGAGCCGGGGTACTACGGACCCGAGTGCCAGCTTGGTGAGCCGTTTCCTTTCTTTGTTTCTTCCGACAGTGCCACACATTCTATAACCCGTGGTAGGAGTTGGCTGGGGCAAACTGATACGAGCCATGCTGAGAAACGGGAAGTTTTGACCTGTTAGTTATGCTCCCCTGCTGCTCTCTTCCTGTGGACATTTCATAAGTCAGCATGAAGTTTCATTTCACAAGTTCTTTTTTTTTTGGTACCACAAAGAGCAAGGTGTTGAGTTAAAACCCTGTGCAATTGACAATAAAGAATCAGGCATGGAGAGTTGTAAAGTCAGAATGACATGGAGCCATTTACCATTAGGAAGTACGCTTGTTCGCTGACAGGCAGGGGCACACAGGAAAGCACATGGAATGATTCAGACTACAGATCAGAGAAAGAGAACGCGTTTATTTGGGCCCGGTGTTTCAGGAGAAGACAAAGCAAATATAGATCTTGCCTTCAAAGGATCTACAGTTAATTAGAGGACATTACCTATGTTCATAATTGAGTTTGAAGGAAAGCAAGACACACTAGCCTATGCTGTAGAGATGGGGGAATGTGGAGGGAGGGAACCTGTCCTTCTCTAGGTTTGGCATTTAAGGCAAATGTCCTAGGAAAAGCACGTGAAAGAGCTCCTCATAGGTCCTGAAGTCATTCAGAACCATGGTGATAGAAATGGAAGGCACCCATTTAAAGTCTTGGACCCGGCCAACCTCTACAAGAGATATCAAATCCTTTGAGTGGTGTTGGGCCAGATTTCAAAAGTATGAAGTATCTGGTGCATACAATAGAAAACCAATGCTTTTGTGACAAACAGTGCTTTTGAAGAATAAGGACTTGAGGCTAACATAGATCTAAATATCAATCAGTTAAGATTTCATACTTTAACATTTAACCTTAGAGCCCTGAATCCCACCTGATACTTATCTCCAGTGTAGAACTCTAGTTTTCAATCTGTGGATCGCTGCTTTTCCCATTTCTCTAGGCACTGTACCCTATTTTTGCACTGGGTGGGGAGGGGCGGGAGGTGGTTGCTTTCCTTCATCTCATTGTTTTCTGGTTCTCTTTCAACACAAGGAGCATTTCTCCCCTCGGTGGTTCCTTCTTGGATGCTTCTCCAAGCCCGTAAAGTAGTTTATTTCTCATCTTTGGTCTTTAGTCTATTGTTCTTCTGATTCTACATCTTGCTCTTGTGAAGACTCACATAACTCTGTGACCTTTTGATGGACAAATCTGTCATTAACAGTGTCCTTTGAGATGTTCACAAGCCTGTCGGGTCTAGCCAGTTCACCTTCCTTTTTCTGGAGCCAGCTTTTACACGGGCACTCTGTCTGTGGTGAACCTCTCTCACCTCCCCCGCGGTTTTGCAAGGAAATACGCTATCAATTCGTACACTTACTATTGCTCCAATTACTCTCCTGCTTGACAGCCCCGTCGCGGCCCTCTTGATCTTTCTCCCCATTTATTACAGTAGTCTTCAACAAGAACGCCACAACTTTAAATCAGTTCCACCCAAATATATTACTCATTCTACTGGCAGGCTGATGAACTAAAACATGTCATTTCTGGGTGGCAATTATCCCCTTAATTTGCATCTATCATTTGTCTTAAGGGATAAAATCTAAGTTCATCAAGATCTAGAGTAACGTTTGATAGATAGTAGACTAAATCAACGAAAAAGCCAGGTGCTTTGTCTTAGCTCCCATCTTCCTAGCCATGTCTTGCATCTTGCCTTTCCTCCTCTCCCCTTCTAATAATCCCCAAATACTTACAGTTCTCCACCACTCACACTGGCTTTGGATCTCCTTCTCTCTCATTACACATGGCTATCTAGTCATCTTGAAGACATGATTCAGAGACTGTTTTTTCCAGGACTGTTGTCTTGAATGTATGCCTATCAAGTGGCAATGCTAGCATTCAAATCCATCAGGTCTTAACGCTTCCAACTCTGTTGCTTTGCTCATTGAAGTGGTCGAGTGTGAGCCTCTGAGCGCCCCAGACCTGGGCACCATGGACTGTGTCCACCCTTTGGGAAACTTCAGCTTCCGCTCCCAGTGTACCTTCCTCTGCACGGAGGGGACAGATCTAATCGGGGCTGAAGAGACCAGCTGTGGACCCCTGGGGAACTGGTCATCTCTAGAACCAACCTGTCAAGGTGAGCAGCTCCGCATTAGACAGTGTATTGTGATACAATGCCATGCAGATAAGGGAATGCAGGGAAGAAGTCTGCATCATTTCCTGGAGCTTAATTTAGCGTGCATTACACTGTGATGCTTTTCAAAGAGGTTTGTGTTTTTTTTCATTTTAAATTAAATGATTATGTGATACCAAGGAATTGAACCCAGGGCCTCATGCATGCTAGCAAGCACTCTACCACTAAGCCACCTTTCCAGCCCCAAAGAGGTTTATCCTCATTAAAATGAAAAAGAAACCTCCCAAACAGACAAACAACAAATTCTTCTTGGGCCATCTGACTATGTGAAAGATGATTTATAAAATATAATTTATAGAAAAGTAATTTATAATTTATAGCAATATAGTAGGGATTTTCTGTATTTTTTTGTTTTTCTCAATGTCACGGCATCAATAATAAAGGTTTGGTGAACCTCCACTGAATTTTAGATCCTGTCCTCTCAATCACACCCATTTCACGTGCTGCCCTACGTAAGGCCAGCTGTGTTCTTGGGGTGGGGAGCAGAGGTCTTTCCCAATTGTTTTCTTTGGTATGTTCGCCAAGTCTTCTTTTATTTTTCCTGTCGTGTAAACTCTTAGGAGAATAATAACTACAAAAAATAACTACTACCAAAAATGGAAGAACAGTTTCCAGTTTTTTTTTTTACTCACTTAAAATTCAGAGAAACTATCCTTTAGCTGCCAAAATAATTCACACATTGGAGAAAACATGGTTTATCTGTACTTATAAAGTTTTGATCACACTTGCTACATTTATGCGCCTGCTTCACCAGTTTCTATAGTTTGTCTCAAAAGAAATGTCAGCATTCTTTACTGAAACCATAGAGCAAATTTGACCCACTCACTGAATGGAACCAATCTTGGGCCTGCTTCAGAGACAAGATACTTTTCAGGGCAGCTCAGGTAGGCTTTACCATGGATAAACAAGTGGAAATCATCACCGTTGACTGCAAAGAATCAGGAGCAGACTTGCAGGAAACGTGTGCCACTTCAGGGGGAGCTGGGAGTCACCAGGCTGGGGTGAGAGCCTGAAAGGGCTCCCGGGGCACTGAGCCTTCTCCGTTAGCTCCTCCCCAGCTCAGCCAAACCATCAAGAAAATGAAGTCCGAAAGCATGGGCAGAGGGCATTTCCACAAGTTGGGAATTTCTCAGTTCTTCTTTTCTTTATTCCTGAACTTATATTAAGACTTTTCTAGCTCTTCTCTATATGTCAGAGTACTAAACGCTGAACAATTCCAGGCAGCTAGACACATGGTGACTACCTTTTGCTAAGATCTTTAGACACAGCCCCGAGAACCGCAGCAACCCCAGATCTGAGAGCTGAGAAGACGTTTCCAGCACAGGCTGGGGAAGTCTTTGCTGTAGAGGAATTGTGGGCTCTCCACCAATAACCAATTTCCCTTGGTCAAACAGGAGATGAGGCATGAAGTCACCTCTTGTTGGGAGACATGAGAAGGAAATAAATCTCCACGGCTAAGGAAATCGTGTTTCTGGTCTCACGCTCTGCACCTCGCTGATTTCTGTTTCAGAGACAGGCCGGACTTTCTCAGTGGCCAGCGAAGGTGGCTACAACCCCCTCTTCATTCCAGTGGCGGTCATGGTCACGGCCTTCTCTGGACTGGCATTTATCGTTTGGTTGGCGAGACGACTGAGAAGAGGTATGTGAGTTTAATTTCTTGTGAAAATGAAACAACTTTAAAGCAAAAAAATGAAAAGAAAGAAAACCCACAGGAAACTCGAGCTGCATAGAATCAACGGCAGCAGGTGCCAAGCTTTGAGTTTCATAGATTCCAGTGCCTCAGACATGTAAATCAGCTCGATAAAACGCCTTCATTAAAAGATGCCAGACAATGTTTGATTTTCATTAGGCAAACCTTTTTAAAAATGCCTATTGTCTTTCAGGTACCTTACTAGGGTGATAGCCAAATTAGACATTCTAATGGTTCTTGGCTTTTAAAAAATTCTGAAAGAGAAGGAAAAACACATAATGTCCATCCTCTAGAAGACTATGTGCTGGGCAGGTACCAGTGGCTCACGCCTGTAATCCTAGCTACACAGAAGGCTGAGATCTGAGGATTGTGGTTCAAAGCCAGCCCGGGCAGGGAAGCCCCGGAGTGAAGCTGTGGTTCAAGTGGTAGAGCACTAGCCTTGAGCAACAAAGCTTAGGAACAGTGCTTAGGTTCTGGGTTCAAACCCCAGGATGGTCACACACAAACACACACACACACACACTCACTAGTATAATTTTTCTAAGATATGAACCAAATGTCCACTAAGCTGTTCACGGAATTGCTCTGAAGTACTTGACCTTGTGAAGCGTCAGCTACTACCTGTGAGAGCAGCGCTGTCCCTGGCAGAAATCCGCAGGCACCCTTCCTGGTAGCTTGTTCCCAAGGCCAAGGGCACCTGGATACTTGGGGGGTGTCCTGGGAAGCTACTTTCTGCTACCTAGGTTGGAGGTGGAATCCTGCAGAGAAGAACACCCGTCTCCTGCCCCTCCCCTGAGAGGGTCCGTGCAGCCGCAGCCTTCCGCAGGATTGGGTCTTCACTCCCACGTCTGGTCAGACTCAGGAGGCAGACCCATTCGAAGCTGTAGAAGTCACAGATACTGGGCAGCTGCTGTGGGACCCCTGTTTCAGGAGAAGATGATGGATGGCCTCGAAGCGATTGCTAAGCAGTCCTTCTGAGCCATCTGCCTGTGGTACCAGTTAGATTAGCATGTATTTTGTCCTCTGACTATGCGGGTCCCCGGCTGTGTGTCCTGGCAACTGCAGGGATGTACTTAGCCTGTCCACAATGAGCTGGCACTGGGGTCTGGTCCTTCATTCTACCCTGAAAACTGGAAGTGTCAGATTAGCTTTCTAACCAGCCTAGAAAGACCATGGAGAAGCCGTTGATGAGGAGCAAGAACTTTACTAACTGTAACCTAACCACACTGACCCATGAAGATGTCTGCCCTGTCTCTGAGAGAACTTCTGTGGCATTTGGATCCCGCCATGATAGAGTACTGGGTTCCTAACAGCAACTTCACTGGTGCGAAAGAAGAATGGCAAATCGTTCTTGCCATTGACTTACCTTTCTTTCCCTTGAGACTTTAAGGCTGGAACCCAACGTTCCTTGGGTGATTATGGCAGAATTCAGGGGGTGGAGAGCAAAGTGGGCGATCGCATATTAATCACACATTGGGATAAGCTATCGCAATAACGTCAAGGATTTGGGGGCTGAAAGTCAGCTTAATAAGGAAGATATTTATTCCAGATTCATACCCTTCAATAAATAGTCGTAGCACCAAAAGACAGAATGGAAGTCACATGTATTTAGAGAAGTCTCACTGGTGAGGGCTGTTTGATAAGCAGTGTAAGAAAAGAAGTAAGGTTGTTTTTAGTTTTTTTTTTTTTTAACCTTGGAGTCATTTCTGTACAAGATCTCAAACTGATAAGTTGAGAACCCATGCCCCCACTGTGGGAATCAGTGTGGGGCAAACAGGAAACAGATAACGGGCATGTAGGCTATTTACAGTTATGCCAGCAATGAGAACACACACCCCAAGATCACCGACTGTGGCAGGAAAGCTGGGGTCACATGAAAGCCACATTTAAATCGTCTACCAATATTTCCAACTTGCAAGCAATTGGCCTTGTGTTCTAACCCTTTTAGTTGTACTTGGTTCTTAAACACAGGAACAATATCTTTTTTTTCCTATAGACACAATGTCAGAAATGATCCTAGGGCCCAGGCTGTACTCCTACTGGGTTGGTTGATGCGTTTACAAAGATAAAGGGAAAAGTAATAAACCTGTAAATACACATATACCTCTGTTCTGAGAATTTGATCTTACTTTTTGCTGCTGATCCAGGCTTGAACTCAGGGCCTGGGTGCTGCTGCCCTTGAGCTTTTTTTTCTTTCTGTTTTTTTGTTTTTGTTCTACTACTTGAGCCACAGCTCCATTTCCAGATCTCTCTCTCTCTCTCTCTCTCTGTGATTAATTAGAGATAAGAGTCCCATGGACTTGCCTGCTGGGCTGTTTTCGCACCAAGATCCTCCTATCTCAGCCTCCCGAGTAACTAGAATTATAGGTCTGAGCTAATTGGGGCTCAGCTGTTCTGAGAATTGTCCAGAAAGCTGGAGAAAGGGAGCAGGTGACATTTTAGCGCATGATGGCTCTGATCTTTTATTAGATGAGTCCTTGGAACCTGGCTGTAGGGCACCTATCCCAGCAATCTTCGTATCAGACATCAACTCCCTTCTCCCGGGCTAGGAATAAGGGAGAGTTCCAGAAACACATTCCCCTGGTGAAACACTTTGTATTCCAGAACCATCTTTCTCTGAGTAGTCACTAACATTGGCTCTGTTTGGTAAAAGAGTCAAACAGCATGTACCCTAGACGCTCTTGTCTTCAGAGTCAGAAAATTAGCTCCCCGCCCCTTTGGTTAGAGGAATTTTCCACTTGAACCAACACACAGGGTAGAAGAAGGCATGAAGCTGAACACATGCCCCCTCGCTTCCCTTTTCTTCAAGAAGAAACCTCCTCAGTAGGAACAGAGTTTTGCTCTTACATGATTATGGGTTTCATTGTCCCTAAAAGAAAAGCAACGTTCCTGTGAAGATAAACTTGACTCTTCTGGGGTCTCAGCTTATGCCACCAGCAGGCAGAATTTTGGCTGAAAGATTTTACACAGTAATTTCTAACACTAAAGGATTAGAACGGAAATTGGGGACAAGGTCTAGGCTCTGGCCTACAAACTTTGAAATACATTTCCTTTTGTCAACCCAGTAAGGAAGATGGAATTGCTATCACCTTTAGCAGAGGAAGAAATTGTGGTTTACAGAAGAGAAGCAACTTGTTCAAAGACAGGTCCCAGCCTCCAGGCACCCAAACACGGCTTTCATCTGAGTGGAAAATTCAATGTTCAGCCACGGAAATAATTCTTTCTCCTTCAAGAGCCTTTCCTGCTTTTATTCTTCTTTTATGTTGCTTTCCTAAAGACCCCAATTCTCCAGCTCATTTCCAAAAGGATGTAAATTCACAAAATCCATTCAAAATGATAACTTGACCTAAAAAGCCAGAAACAGTCAACTTTTAGGGGCCGCCTCAGGTCCCCCTTACTTACCTAACACATGCACATTTCAAAAGACACATCAAGAATGCAATTGCCTGCTTTCCACTAATTGCATTTTTCGTTTGTATTTTTAGGCAAGAAATCTCAGGAAAGGTAAGTTTTGCGAGTGAGGCATTTCCATGTGTCGATTCTTTCTCTACTTTGTTTAATATGCTTCCTGTTATAGCTTAATCCCAAAGTAGATGCAATTAATTAATTTTACAAAGGGGGGGTCATTGAAGGGAAGTATCCAGGCATGGTAATAAGTCCCTTACCTCCCTTAAACTATTTTTTGTACTAGTGGAGCTAAATAGATGAATATCTGTAATAATCTGTTAGGAAAAATCAGTTAGCCAGAAGGGGAGTTTTACTGATTACCCTCAAAATTCCTTTTCAGTTTTTATTAGCATATATCATATGTACAAGGGGGAGGTTTTCAGTTTTTATTAGCATATATCATATGTACAAGGGGGAGGTTTTATTAGGACAGTTCCATACCTGGGCACAATGTATTTAATCAATATGTTCATCTATTTCTTCGAGGATTCAAAGCATTCTGTTATATTATTTCTTGGCCTGGCTGAAAATACCTCCAGGACCTATACATATGAATCAAGGAGTATTTAGTTCCACAAGAATTTATTGAGAATGTACCCCAGACATGAAGAATGAGTCCCTCAATGCCTAATGCAAAAGGGTAAATGACTCCTACTCTGCTTCCGCAGCATGGAGACGGGGGCACGCATGATTTCCAGGTACCACTGCCACCAAAAAGGCACTTTAAAAAAAGCTTGGCCTTGAAACCCAGATTCTTTCGTTGGCATAATAATGCAGACTAGCCAGATGGAATGCAGACACAGGAGAGTACCTGATCCACCTGACAGAAGTGAACATGGGAAAATAGTTCAGTTTTGTGACTCGCTTTGAAACGTATGGGAGTTTAAGTAAAAAGAACTATGGAGACGACACGTCTTGGGTGGTGTGCTGAGCACCCAGCCAGACAGCTTGGAAAGACATGGGTAGGTGTCTGGAGAGGGCCAGTCTGAGCTTGGACAACATGCTATCCACAGCTGTCACTGAGAAGATCTCAGTGGAGTGGGCTGTAGCTCAGAATGCAGCAGAGAGGGGCTGGGAAGGTGGCTCAGTGGTAGAGTGCTTGCCGTGCGTGCCTGAGGACCTGAGTTCGATTCCTCAGCACCAGATAAGCAAAAAGAAAAAAAAAAAGAATGCAGCAGAGAAACGGAGGGAGATGAGCCAAGGAAGCCTTCTACTGGCCCCAGGAGAGCACAGTAAGCCTGTCTTACTTATTTATGGGTTTATTATGTGTAGCTGTCGAGCAAGCATGGTTGGTGGTAAATTTTGTTTTGATCCCAAGAAACCTCAAAAACAAAAGAAAGGTAAATTCCTGCATCACATTGCTCAGCTGAAGCTCCGAGTCAGGCCCGTGGCATCACCAGCCAGGTTTCAGTTGTGTGGTGCAAGGGAATCAGCAAGGACACATGTCTTTAGATGGGAAACAGCGGAAAACCCGCTGAGGATGAGAAGGTCAGGCAGAATGTGGCTGTCCTGCGTGCGCGGCCCAGAAGAGAGCGGAAGGGAGGCTGACCCGGATGGCACTGGAGTCCTTCCCTTCCTTCTGCTCTATTTTCTCCTTTATTACCCCATCTTCTCTTTATAGCACAGATGGCGTCCTTGTAAGAAGCGAGTCTGTTTGGTAGGGGGGGCTGGCCTCCATATCTCCCTGAAGAAAAACTACAAGATGTAAAGCCCAGCGAGGGGAGGTTTTCTGGCACTATGTACCCAAAGCTGTTGTCTGCCCACGGGAACTGCACGCTGTCCTTGCTGCGAGGTGGAAGCAGCTCGGTTCATCCTTTTAGGTGCCTTGAGGGTGCAGGAAAAGACAGGTCTGGACGCATATGAACACTAATTTAATGAGCGTATCAGGCAAACAGCCATAGCATGGCGAGCGGCTCACTGATGTTTACGCGAATCAGGTTATAGTTGATTACCCGTCACCTGTAAGCTGGAGAGCTCAGGGCTCTCGACTCCTAGGTTACAGTTCTAAGCCCCAGAAGCCTTCTTCCCAGTCATGTGAAATTTTTTGCTTTTGCTGTTTCACACCAAACCATTGTGTTACTGAGGTTACTGAGGAAGGCAGGGGGAGCAGAAATAGAGTATGTTTCTAGAACAAGCCAAGGTAGGATGAAACACTATCACACTAAATTCTATGTGTCAATTTCTGAAGCCCCTGAGCTCGTTTTCATTCCTGTGAGTTTTTGGCTGGTGAATGAATGACTTTTTGGGCATCTGTGGTTTTGATTCTCGCCGGTTATTTTGACTTTTGCAAGCTGGTTCTTCTGTTTGTCACCTCATTTGCTTCCACTGTCTAAATTTTACCTGGGTAAAAGTTACACCCAAGATACACAGGAAGATACGATGCCAACCTCAGGGCAGGGTACACGTGAGATTCTACTTTCAGAAACTTTTTTTAAGCTCTAAATTGGCAAACAGGTTTGCAGCTGCTGCACTGTGGTTTTCCCTGATGGTTCATCACCAGACCAGAGCTATAGAATCTGGTTCTATGTTTGAAAAGTGCTAAGACAAAACAAACTTGATTTTCCTTTGTCCTTTCCAAGAATGAGACAATTGAAACATACAAAAAAGACATATTTTTCATTAAATGAAATTTGTCACTGTCTCACTAAATTATATTCTAGCAGAATTAGGCATTTAGAACCACAATCATTCTTTTCATGAGTTTTGATTTTCTCTGATTTCACTTTCCATTTGAGGATATTGTCTCCTACTGCCTCAATTTTCCACTGTTCAAAGTCAGTATACAATCTATCTCAAAATCAATAGCTCTGGGAACAAGTGCTGCATCACAGATACTTCACCAACTGTGGCTATGGGCTGAGAATCCCAGGTACCAATCAGACTTTTGAAGCAGAATTTGAATTGAAACTTACATTTTCTCAGTAGTAGAACATGCAAATAAATGTAAGAAGGGCCACTGCAGGAGTCTCTTCCCTTTTGCCTTAGAATGTTTTGTTTCCTGTCCAAAATTCCCAGGAGAACACATTCCCTTGCTTCTAACGTGTTATTTTTCTTACTAACACTTCAAGCTTGCAATTTGCTCCATTATCACCTTTGGGAAAATGCCTACTTTTACTGCTCACAGTTGTCATGTTTGCAAACTTTAATTGTTTTTGAGCTCCTGGGCTTAATTTGCAATCTTTTGCTTTTCTTTTAGGATGGATGACCCATACTAGTCTGTCGATGGTGAAGGAAAATTCTTAAGCTACGAGAAAAATCACTGGGAAATGACTTACATCTTTCCACGGTATCTTGTGAAGAGAAAGTGTTTCCTTCGGTGCACTTGGGAGATTTCTTCATGACCAACAGCCCCTTCTGTTCCCCTTTGGACCTTTATTCATTCTCCTACTCACAACCCACAGTTGATCTTACATAGCTCTGTTTTTCATCATCTTTTCTAGGGAGAAACAAATGAGACCAGACTAGAAAGGAGGGGAAAGATTTCTATGGAATATAAAGATGTCGAACTTTGCTCTTTCCTATTTCTTATTTCAAGTGCCATTTCAATAATGTACTCAATAATAAAGGTTATTATGATCCTGTATATAACATGACATTGCTTTGTTCAGTGAAATAAATGTAGTTTTCCCCCCACCCTGACTGTGCCTTTCATGCTTCCTTAGCAGAAGATTCTGAAGGTTTTCCCAGAGCTAGAGCAGAAGTAGCTCTGAGGCTAGACTGAAAGATGCACTGGCTGAAGAGAGAAGCAGGGACGAAGTGCCACAGAACAGCTTTAAATCCAGACCAAAGCTTCTGAAGTTTATGCAACAGTGTCTGGGAAAAACTTGAGCAAGTGAGGGCAGGATCACAACAGAATTCGAGATTAGGAATTGGGCAGAAATGGAAGCAGAGACACTCATTCATTAAGGTAACTGTTCAGGCAAGAAGATTCCACTGTGAGACATCGCGAAGCGTTTGCGTCTGACTAGCTGGGGTGGGGGAACGGAGCGTCACCGGGAGTGGAACAAAGCCCTCAGAAAGGAAAAAAAAATCAAACAAAAAAATCTGGTTAACTACAGCTTATGCAAATATTCCTTTTTCAAAGATCTTGTAGGAAAGTCCCTCCTTTGTTATTTTTCCTCTGATTGAATTTATCTCCTTTATTCTTTTTTTTTTTTTTTGGTCGGTCATGGGGCCTGAACTCTGGGCGCTGTCCCTCAGCTCTTCAGCTCAAGGTTAGCACCCTACCACTTGAGCCACAGCGCCACTTCTGGCTTTTTTGCTTATCGAACCCAGGGCCTCATGCATGCAAGGCAAGCGCTCTACCACTGAGCCACCTTCCCAGCCCCTCCCTTATTCTTAATATAGGATCCACTTAAGGATATTTACAAAGCGTCTGTAAATGCAAAGACAAGTAGAAAAAAAATCTGAGAATGGGAAAAAGCCTCAGCTTGAAAATGCTGTTAGAATCCCAACCCATTAAAGGCAAGTAATCTGAATGTAGTTTCTTTTTTTTTTTGTAGTTTTTTTTTTATTGTGAAAATACTGTACAGAGGAGTCTGAATGTAGTTTCTTAAGTGAAATTGTGGTAAGAGACCCTAGGGACCTCTGAAAACCTCTGTCCATGGGCTCACACTGTGTGGACTTCGTGACTGGTTTCCTGTGGATTTAGAGAAAACGGGCAGAATGCATATTTGATGATGGTATGACCTACACAATTATTATATTTACTTCTGGAACATTCTTTATGAATGTTAGAGAAATCAGCATGTCCTTAGAAACCACAATTGTTTCCAAACTCTTCTACTATAGGAATATTTATTAACATTAAAAACATTGAAGGATAGGAGTGACATTTTACAGCCTCGTATTTGAGAAAAATACAGGAACTAGGTCCCTGGTCATGTCATGCTCTGTGACTTCCCAGAGACAAGTTTCTGTCGCATAAATGAAATCTTATGGTAGACAGTGCCCGTGAGACCGAGGCGGCCCCTAGTCGAGAACAAACAATACATTCACGAGGAATGAATGAGTTGCTCACATTTTGCTCACAACTGGCACTCTACCACATCTCGACTTCATGTTTTCTGCTGTTTAACTGGAGATAGGATTCTTGAGGATGTATCTGTAATAGGCTAGCTCAGCACCACTATCCCACATCTCAGCCTCCTGGGTAGCTGGGATTACAGGTTCTAGCACCAGCACCCAGCTTCCGCCAGGATTCTCTCTCTTCTCTGCTCCTCCTTAACAAACTTCTTCAGTCACTCCTGTTATGATAGTGTTGTATATTCTTTGTTGTTGTCCCTTTTTGTGTGAGGAATGTGTGATAGGCAACTCTATTCAGCTATCTCGCTGATATTTCCATTATTCTCATTTTAATATAAAAAATGATCATAGACCAGGGGTCAGCGGTTCATGCCTGCCAACCTTCACCTCTTAGAGGGCTGAGACAGGGAGGATTGCAATTCCTGAGCCAGCATGGGTAGAACAATCCAGCAAAAAGCAAGGCCAGAGGTGTGGCTCAAAGTAGTAAAACTCATCTGAACAAACTAGTTGAATGGGCCCTAAGCCTTGAGTTCAAAGCCTAAGCAGTGCAAAAAAGCAAACAAGCTATAAACTCAGAACCTAAGTTTAGCTCAAGCCTTTGAAACTCCAAGTTCACTCTCCTCTAAATTCCAATAAAGGTTAAAGTCAATTCCTTGAATGTACAAGTTAGTGTCGTGTCTGTCCTATGCTTATGTACTATTCATTCAACATCTACCACTCAGAGCTAAAGAACAGCTGTGTGCTAGGTGTGCTAGGCCCCATTTTTTGCCTCCGGCTTCAGTGCAGTCAGGTTTTACTGAGCGGTGGTACACAGGTCAGCACGGAATCACAGAGTCCAGGGAGAGTCTCTCGTGTGGATGAGCAACTGATGAATCACAGGCTCATCAAACCAACAGGATATTTGGCAATGACAAGGTGCCAAAGAGGAAAAGTGAGTCTCTTGGCACGTTCCCTGGGTTCACCCTAGTCTGCCCTTGCGTGAGTGGCTTTGTCCAGCGGCATCTCCCCAGTGTTGCTCCTCGGTACATGAATCAGGACCTCAAACCCCCAAATTTCCACCGGACTTCATTCCGGGCATTATCTTCCCATGTTTGGAAAGCAGTGATTTACTACACACAAGGGCAGCCGGGGAGATCTGCAGGGCCTGGCCAGGAAAGCACAGCACACACCTTGCGTTTCAATAGAAGGGGAAGGGGAAGTGGATCTTGCCCAACGGTGCACTGCCCCCTCCTCCCCCGCCCTCCTGCTCTGAAGGGCTGGCACACCCCACACACTGCGGAAATGCAAACCCCAAGCAGCAGACACTGCCACCCTTTGCCAGGGACAAGTTTTTCGTACTGCCAGCTTCTGTCAACATTTTTTCTTTAAACATTCAAATATTGGTAGAGGTATTGGCAGTGCTTTGGGGTCATGGAAGCCAACCACGTCTATCTGTACCTGTGCCACTGAAGAAAACACTCTGATCAAGAGGGATCGAAGCCAAATTTAAAACATAAACTGGGGCTGGGAAGGTGGCTCAGAGGTAGAGCGCTTGCCTCACATGCATGAGGCCCTGGGTTCCATTCCTCAGCACCACATAAGCAGAAAAAGCCAGAAGTGGTGCTGTGGCTCAAGTGGTAGAGTGCTAGCCTTGAGCTGAAGAGCTGAGGGACAATGCCCAGGCCCAGAGTTCAGGTCCCACAACTGATAACAATAAATAAATATACTTCTTGAATGCCAGACTAATTATGTAGTGAAACCATTTTGTTCAGGGAGGATTATAAGAGGTCCTTCCAGAAGAAAGTAGAAGTCTAAAATAAGTCTGCAGTTTACTGGATCTCTGGAGGGTTGAATGCATACTGATAATGCACTTATCCTATTACCCCTGTAATGAAGGACAGTTTATTATTGTTTTGCTGTTGTTGTTTGGTGGTACTGGGGTTTGAACTCAGAATCTTGTGCTTGTGTTTGTCAAGTATTTATCTGGTTTTTGAAGCACATACTCTGGACTCAGAATATTTGACGAATATTTTATACCATTTTTTCTCTAAGAAATGTTAAATATATTTGTAAAAATCTGTTTGCTTTGTTTTTAAGTATTGGTGGAATTCATGTATAAATTATCTGAGACTGATGTCTTATTTGTGGGCCAGTTTTAATTCAAATCCATCCATCCATCCTTCCTTCCTTTTTTCCTTCCTTCCTTCCTTCCTCTCTCTCTCTCTCTCTCTGTCTCTGTTTCTGTCTCTCTGTCTCTCTCTGTCTCTCTGTCTCTCTGTCGGTCTGTCTTTCTGTCTCTGTCTCTCTCTCTTTCTCGGGTCCTCATGCTTGCCGGGCAGGTACTCTTAACTATTGAACCATGCTTTCAGTCCTGGTTTTTGATGATTATTTTTTAGGTAAGGTCTCCTTTCTTACCTTGATGTGTTAGGCTGCTACATAGTTGGGATTCGTTGTTCACCACCACCTCAGATCATTGTTGAGAAGGTCTTGTGAACTTTCTACTCAGTCTGGCTTTGAACCATGATCCTCACAATTTCAGCCTCGGAGCTAGCCAGGACGACAGGGGCACTGGACCTGGTCTCTGTTCATTTTTTATGGCATGAAAATGAGAACAACTGTGGCACCCACATGCTAGCTGAATGTTTTCCCATCACTTGTTCCCCACACAGAGAGATGGCGACAGCGAAGACACAGGAGTGTGACCATGGGGTGACTAAGAAGTCTGCCAGTGCAGCAGGGGGTGAAAAGACACCGGGGGAGCTTGAGAACTCCACAGCTCCAAGGTGCCTGCCTCCTCTGCATTCCGCGTCAGACCCAAGCCCAGGCAGTGTCTTCTCGTGGGGAGAAGGTAATGGGGAGAGCCCGAGCGGTCCCCATTACAGAGGACGCCTGGAATCCTCACAGCCCTCCCCCACCCCAGACCTCGCCCCCATGTAGAATGGCGGTTTGATCCGCAGCCGCGGCTGCACTGCTGCAGAGTTCACCTCCCTCTCTGTGACCTTCGCTGCGAGCTTCAGCCCTGTCCTGGGAGTGGACCCCCTGCCAGAGCACTTCACCCCGAAGCTGGTGTCCAGGCACATCTCCAATCATCAGGCCATGCACACAGACCGTGTCTGCACCAACAGCTCCTGCTCTGTGAGCCCAGCTACTTGGAGCCAGAGCTGAGCAGAAAGTCCACTTCCACAACAAGGAAGAGTGCCTGCTGCGAAGGGAGGCTGACACAGGGCCAGAGGCTACAGCCAACCAAGCAGCAGCTCTGTTCCCGGCCGAGATCACCGAGAGCACATCCCCTCCACCGACCTGCGGCGCAACATCCTTCCCAGGGGCACCCGCCCCCGGCAGGTACTGTACACCTGGCACACCTGTGTGCATCCTAGCCCCACGGCAGCAACTGGCCAGCTTCAGAGCCCGCCAGCCACGGCTCCATCCACCAGAGAATCTACCCTAGGTCACTGGCCTGCAGCACCTGCAGGTGCTGGTGCACAGCCTGGGCACGGGCTGTTTGTGGTCCTCCTCCCAGAGAAACCACACCATGGGACCATGGCCACAGACACCCACAGGCTGAACTGACACAACGGCACACA